GGTGCACTTCTGTTAGTCTTAAATAACACTATTGTGTCAAGACACACTGTTGTGCGGGTTCACTGAAAGTGCACACATTTATCTTGGTGATGTTGGTGCAGAGGATTGACTACTTGCAGAGTGTTCGAGTATAGACTAACTAAACCGTTTGACCTAGCATGAGACATATGACACTGTATAGACTACATGAAATACCAGCGTTATTTTAATTTTCCATATCTATGTAGTTAGAAATAACTATATAGAAAACATGACTGTATTAATACTATATAGTACTATAAGACAAGAGGATGTAATAATGCTCGCTTGTTACACATTGGTCTTTTTTGTTAGCTTTGGCCATGATCAGTTACGATAACATTGTACCATCGCTACAACAAAATCTAATTAGACAACGGCGTCAAATGATCAGCCAGGTTGTAAACAAGCCAACAGATTAGCCAGATTATCTAAACCACTTTATTTAACGTTAAAACTATTAGAGGACCCACAATGTCTGCTGCCAAACAAACCCGGCCCATACCGCCATCTTTAAGATCCGACCCCACTGAAGTTGATTGGTGCTGCCAAAGTTGTGACCTGAACCCAACCCAGGGCTGGGGCCAGAGTCCCAGGGCTATATATTGCATCATTTTCTGGCCAGGCGTTTGTTCGCTCGCCAGGCTAATGTAACACCTTGGCTACACTCTTTCTCCTCGCAACACATGACATAAGGGATGATTTACATGGTCTGACAGAGAAAGTTAGAAATTTCCTAATAAATTACATTTGAAAATAACTAAACTTGACCTGAGCCCAAAGCTTTACGCAACAAAGTGCAAGTTTGCTGCAAGTGCACTCAAAGTTGAACCAGGACGTTGGTTAGTAAACTGTGATGGGTGTTTACAACACAGTACGGGCAGATTACCTTTTAGTTACCTGTTTGATCGTCTGACCAGTGCTCGTGTTTCTTGCCCCCTTTATTTATTTTTTTTAGTGACGTTGCCGCATTTCCAGATCTCACCAATTATCTCGGTGAGTATAGTGATTTGTTACCTTCGGGAATGATGGCCCAAACTACGACAGTAAGACCCAAGTTGTAAAAAAAAAAAAAAATTCTAAGATTGATCCTTTAAGGTGTGTATTTTTGAAACATTTCAAACAGCACCCAACCGCGTTCATTATTTCCCCAGAGCAGTTTCTCTCTCTCAGAATAGCTCAGTTAGTGCCACAGTTCAGTATTTCCTGAGTGTATCCTGGATCCATGCCTGCACAAACGTTCCCTCTAACTCACCCCGACTGTCCAGTGCTGGCCTGGGAGAGTGAGAAAGAGAGGAAAAAGATGGCTACTCTAGACTAATGTCAAAAAAAGAAAGACAAGTGTTGGGTAAAAGAAAGATTTTTGGGGGTGGGGGGTGGGGTGAACGTGTGGGAGATGTTTAGGAGAGAAAAATACGGATGTGTTTGAAGAGGAAGAGGGAGCAGAGTTGAAATTAAGCCTTAAGTTGATGGTGAGAGAGGGGAGGGGGAGGGGGGCCCTGTTCGATGTGACTCCCCATCCTTATACGGTCACATGCAGCCCTGGCACGGACACAGAGAGCCCAGTCGGGGGAAAACATGCTCATTTAGAGCTTACATAAACACACCGGCCCACAGCCCCGCTCCCTCCCTCCTTCCAGCCTGGGCTGGGAAGAGGAAGGGAAGGAAAAAGGAGAAGAACGCTGTGGAATTTGAAAGGGAGTGCGTTGATAAATTCCTGAGCTTTTAGCGCACAGAGAGACTTTGTACCTCCTGTAACAAGGAAATGCAGTGCTGGCGGGTTTAGCAGTGATTCTCCTTGCAGGCTGAGGACTGCATATTTGGAAATCTGACACAATCGAAGGAAATTAGACTTGTTGAGGCAGCCGGAGTTACTAATTGCCTGACACTTTATGGTCCCACCTGACGTCAACAGGAAAATGAATGAATGAATGATGAATCTTGTGTGGACTCATAACATGGACTCACACTCCATTTCCAAAACCTGTATCATTTGCCTTCTCATTTCTACATACACAGTACAATGTGACACAAATGAAATAAAGTGGAAATTTGGGATGGGTATTATATTCAATGTTGGAATAACTGTTACTGCTCAGAATTTCTGAACCCTACGAACAGCAGCTATCAGTTTCCTTCCAGCTAAGAGTATGAATTTATAGCTGTGATGAGTCTGCAATGTCAGAGCCTTAAAGGTATCTGACAATCATGCACTTCCACTGGTCAATTAGAAATAATCACTAAACCGCTTTTCTTGCAAATTTGTTTGGTTAAAAGCAGCCAGTAGGTGAATATGTCCTGTCTTTTTGACCCAGGGGACAACTATGATGTATGCGCCATCTGCCTGGACGAATATGAAGAAGGTGACAAACTCAGAGTCCTGCCATGTTCTCACGGTGAGTCTGAACACTTCTGCACTGTACATGACCCAGTAACCTTTCTCCAGACTCGTGATACACGGAGCCAAACTCAAAGAGCTAGTGTTGGCACAGACAAACCTGATAAATGCTTTGCGCCACATCTCATGGTTTTAAACCTTTTTGTTTTACAAAGCCCTAAGGTACTTTTCTCCTCACTCCAAGGTCGTTATAGTTTAGCATATTTCTTTATATTTTATTTGATTTTGACTTTTTGATTACAATTTCAGTTTAGTTTTAATTTGTTTTGAAAGTGGGTTTGCTAGTTTAGTTGAGCTTTTATTCTAAGTTAATTCTTAGTTTTTATTAGTTTTAGTCTTTGGGACTCTTGGGACGCTTTCTCCAGACTTTTGCTGCCATGTCAGGAAAGGGGCATTGACTAAAACAAGCACAGCCAAGAAGTTGGAAGATACATTTCTTATCCACCCAAAATACTAGGCTAATGTAGGTTCTATGAAATAAATTGACAAAGATGAAAACTAAAGACGTATATTTTGTAATTTTAGTTTCTCATTGTCTTTTTGCAAACAGACAATAGTTTCAGTTATTGTTTTTGTATAAATTTAAGTATAAAGCAAACATATCGCCCTGTTCTCACACATTAACCTTTGCTGTGTTAAAAGAAGGTACGATCAATCATCGTTGGTATTGGTCTTTTCATGGGATTTGTTGACAATAAGAAAAATGTGAAATATGACCAAACATATCCTTTAAGTGCAAAGAAATGATGCTGCCTTTCAGGGACTGTTTTTAAACACTTTTTTTTTGTCCTCAGCCTACCACAGTAAGTGTGTGGACCCCTGGCTGACCAAAACTAAGAAGACGTGTCCGGTGTGCAAGCAGAAAGTGGTCCCCTCACAGGGTGACTCTGACTCTGATTCAGAGGGGGAGAGCAGCCCTGAAGAGAACGAGGAGGTGTCGGAGAGCACCCCGCTGCTGCGCTCCCTGGCCTCCACTAGTGCCCACTCCTTCGGCACCATGTCAGGAGCGTCACGCTCAGAGCACGACCAGGAGTCTTCTGAGTATGAGGACGACGACCTGGACAGCAGCGACAGCGAGGAAGAGGTCACCGTGGAGACTGTGGTGGTGCAGATGCAGCAGCCCTGCTCTGAAGGCCACGAGTTCGACCCCCCTCGAGCTTGACTTGATTGTTGTCTGGCGTGATTGGTCGCTAACCCCCCCCCCCCCCCCCCGCACAGCTGCAGAGACTTTTGTTGGGGTCACGAACCAGATTCATCATCCGAGTTCTTCTGTCACTGCTTACAAGACATTGTAATCTATCATCCCTACAAGTTCCAATCTTAAGTTTTATTTTTAACATGATTATGAAATGATGTCCTGATTTCCAGGTGTGTGACAGGAAGTCAGTGAGCACGTCTTTAGGGGCTGCTTTCAAATTTGACAGGACTGGTGACACTGATTGTACAGTAGACTGCTATACTGTAATGTATTTAGTTATAAAGGTGATAGAGATGAATGGGAAAAGTTGCCCAGACACAAGCTCTCACTTGACACAAAGTTCAGTAAAAGTACTGTGTATATAAAAAGAATAGATCACAATAAGTTACATCTTTACGTTTTGATTATATCTGGTCCTACATGTTTCAGATGATGGGGAAAGTTTCATTGTTGTACATACATGTTCATGCTACACTGACACCTTGAACCGCTATGCAGCATCCTTTTTGTAAAATTAACATTCAGCAAGTATAGAAACAACACAGCAAATATGGTTTTGCCAATGTATTTTGTAGCCTGATGTATGAAGGAGCTTAGGTGCTCCTGTCTTGTGCCACGGTTTGTCTGTTACAGTGATTCACACTAAAAGAGAAACTGAAGCCAAACCAGTTTGCAAAGCAAAAAGTGCTCTCCCATGTGACACTACACATGTACACTGTGGGTTACGCTGGTTGGAAGTGTGGAGACAGTTAAGTGAAAACTGTCCATGCTGCCTGTGCTAAAATTCTTTTGGCTGCTCCAGACCTATTATTTCATTTAATGTGCAGTTATTGGTTGATAAGCATTGTAATATACATTTGACTGACCTTCTCATTTTATTACAGTTTAGAGTAAATATGCTGAAGTTTGTTTTCATAACATGGCTTGTTTGTCTTTTTGTTCATGAAACCTGTTGCCTTTCAGTTTAGATTGTCATAGTCTTGGTGTTTTCCTGCTCATGTATGTACTCAATCTGAATTCACCTCAATAAAATGACACTTGTCAAAGTTCATGAGTCAGTAATTTACTCAGTAAGTAACCACTGAAAACATGTAATACAGCCAAGAATCTTACTTGCATCAAAGGTTCAGATTTTAGCTGTAAGATGAAGCGGCAATGTTCATTTGGGGTTTTAACAAGAAGCGTAATGACCTGATTATCAGATATGAACCGGCCTGCTTACATCTAGCATGGCTCATTAGCAAGTGGAAATTATGGGACTTCTACACTCAGCAATTTTACCTCTATGTAAGATGAGGGCTACTAGTGCTGCATACTTCCCACAATGTTGAGCTACTCCTTTTACAGAGTAGGTAGTGTTGTGTGAAAAAGAGATCAGCAAACATATCTGGTTGGAATAAATTTATTTGATCTGTCTGTAAACAAGGTGATAAATCAATTTATGGCATTTCTTGGTTTTATGCATACGAAATCAGATGCATTAAAGAGACTGTATCCCAGATGTAAGAAAAAAGTGGTGAGGAAAAGGAAATGAACATAAATCAGCAAACAGGACTTGAAACATTTTTTTTTTGTTTTTCTTTATGAGTACACATATCCCACAAGGCCTAAACAGTGGAGCTGAAGCTTAAAAAGTGCCAATGAAATGACTTAGTGGACAGTGGGTAAAATCCATCTTACAACAGCAACAGATCTATTATGGCACAGGATACACAGGTTCTGCAGTTTTGACAAGACAACCATAAGCGTCTTTGTTCCAACCAATCACATCTCCCATCGAGTGTCATTTCTACTTTTGAAAGTGCCCCCCCCCTTGGACGTTACAGTTAGCAGTGCTGAGCATGGGCAGACCGTGTGATACCCCAGAGCTCAGCTGACTACAGAGTAAAGGCAATTTATTCCACAGTTTTGTAGTTGTCAACACAGCATGGGTTTGTACAAATGCAGTTGTTTTTTTTCCCTTAACAAAGAAAAACAATGAAATGAGAATTTACTTCAGATACTCCCACCCTTAACCTCCCCTGTAGCTTCATATTTTTTTATTATTTTTTTTTTTAAACCATGGTAAATATTACTGTCTGGTTAGTGTTTCCTTCATCAGAAAAGGTTAGCAGTCATCCTTCACATGATTTAGAGCAATTGTACACCCGAGCTTTGACTACACTTGGTCCTATAAAAAGAAAAAAAATATTCAAACTGGACACACTCCAGATGGTAATATGCTGGGATATCTACTGTCCAAAAATGGCAGCCTTTCCAACAAAAAAAAATAAAATAAACACCTTACAGGAGCTGGCAAACAAAAAACAGTAGTAAGTGCCTGAGCCATTGTTACTGTGGAATGTCCATGGGTTTTTTGTAGTCGGGGAGGTTGTGATGACGGGACGAGAGGCTACCAGCATCTGGATGACACTTGCTGCCACATCTGGCTCGTGGTCATCAACTGAGCTGAGCTGGTCCGAGCATCCCCACCCACCCCCCTTTTTAATAAAAAGGTATTCAGGACAGAGCAGTGAATTTGAGAGTTAGGACTGGTTGGGTGGTGTGTAGTGTTTGATGAAGATGACTGAGCTTTGTAGTGTCTCCTGCTTTGAGCAAACAGGATGGGGAGGACCTGAAAAATTTGGGGGGAAGGGGAAGGTTGAGAGGGAAAAGACAGTGGACCGAGATACGCACACAGTTTGCCCTCCAGGACATGATGGGGGAAATGAAAGAGGAAGACATGACGAGCTTGGTTACGGCTCCAAAGGCATCGGCTGCTCAGGGAGGGGAGTGTGTGTGATCGGGTTTTGGGTGAGATTAAATAATGGGCACCACGACAGAGAGAAAAGAAAGAAAAAAAAAAAAAAACTACTTAAAATTGACGCTATAGCCTTCATTGAGTGTTTGGCCAGAATGTTTTGCTGGTCTTGGTACAGATTTGTCATGACATCCTGTTAGCAACATGCTCATCTTTGCTATGGATCAACTTATAGTGCGTTAAGGGGGGGTAAGAGTACACAGCGCAAGTGTGTTGAGTGAAGAGGATGGGTTAGGGGCAAATGACAACAAAATATGGGATAACGAATGGGGGAGAGAAGGCAGAAAAAGAAAAACAAAGTAACTACCAACTAGGACTTGTAGTGTGACATGCAACAGGGCGGTAAGGGTGAGCTGCTAGGTGGCTGGGTACAGGCTGCTTTAGTATCCGGACTTCCTCAGGTACTCAGCCATCTGAAATGCTTTCTTGTTGAGCTGTCCTCCATGGACACCTTCCTTCCCCATGACAAAAACCAATGCTGGAGTGCACAGAAGGAAAAAACAATATAAATGAACAGACATGGTGATAGCAGGGCTGGAAGAGAAAAAAAAAAAAAAAAAATAGACTTTGCCACCTTGCTAAATGTGTGGCTACATTGTTGAGTACAGAGCCTGAACACTGCGCTTGTTAGAAATACTCCTGGGATTTTGTTTAATCGGACTGTTCGGACAGGAAACATGGGCTTGACAGCAATTTGTTTTTTTTGTCTGGTTTATTTTATTTTTTTGGATGTTTTGTGTGCGTTCATGATTTTTCCTCTCCCTCAACTACACCACATAAGCTACATCAAAACTAAAACCCTGAATCCCTCAAGTATTTTGCCATTGAGTATGCCTTCTTATTCAATCCGCCTCCATGGACCCCTTCTTTGCCCATTACCAAGACCAAGACTGAAAGAAAAGAGACAGAGAAGGGACATTTAGAGAAGGTACGAAGATCACAAGTGAAAAGAGAAGAGCAGAGAACCAAGGGCAGCAGGCAGACAAGACAGCTACAGAGGAGGACAATGGCACAAAAAGCAGCGGTTTGGTCTGGCTGTCGAGCCTAAACGTTCATTTTCTTATCAGTGCTGCTGGTGGCGAAACAAGACATCACAATTAGGACAGAGTGCAGCAGAAGAATAAATGTAAAAGGATGCATGCAAAGCTGTCCGTCAGTCTATATCCTTGTGATGACCGAGTAACCAGGCAGAGGCTCAGAGCTTTAGTTTGTTGACTCCACTTCCACTCAGTGGAAGCAGAAAGGTTTGATGCTGAACTACTGGTAAGAGTGAGCCAATTTTCCACATGAGTGCGCTTTGGCCTCCCAGTAAGGATTACTATTGGACTGGAGCCAAACCAAGTCACAATTTGAAAATCTAACTGGGTTGTGCTACAAACTTTACATCAGGTTTAGATAGTAATATTGCATGCCAGTTCTTGTTCAACATGTCTGAATCCATCTCACTGCTTTTAGCTTAGTGACTGAAAGCAATCATGCACTGAGTGCACTATAGTATGAATAAATTCTTCCATTCAGTAAATATAAAAATGTATACTAGAGCTGTTACTAGAGGTCGACCGATTTTTGGCATAATCGGCCAATATCCAAGTATATCAAGCCGATTATTAGGCAGGCGCATCTGTGGGCAGCCTAGTGTTGTCGTGGAACACGTGTTTGACGCGTGCTGCCGCTAGAGTCATTTTCCAGCCGAGTGAGCAGCAGACCTCATCCAGTGCCTAAGGAGCTAACGGTAAGGATTCAATTCTTATTACTCCTTTATATTTAATTAAAAACTTTTGATATGTTACTGCCAACTTCGAGAAAAAACCTGAATAAGACACATGACATTCGGCTAATTTGGATCGTAGTTGAAGTTGCATTATCACAGAAGAGCTGCTATCATGTCACAATAAGTAAGCAATAATTTTGCAATTACAGAGTGAATCTGAGACTTTTATTTGTTCTGTTTGTGTGTCTTATATTTGAGAGGGTTGTCACTCAATGCAGAGAAATAAATAAAAAAAGAGACCAACGCACTATAGGCTAGTGACAGACTGGCTTTGCTAACGGGTAGCTACAGACAGACCCGGTGCCAATACGGCACTGGAACCTTAACGACCGTTATCTACCGCACCGAATATCAACGCGGATTTCTGTGCTTCAGTTCGGTGCAAATAGAGGTTAAAAACCAAGCAAATATCGGCCAAAATAAATCGGCAGCATTAATCGGCCATCGACCGACCCGGATTTCAAAAGATCGGTATCGGCATGAAAAAAAAACCATATCGGTCGACCTCTAGCTGTTACAAATGTTGAGAGCCCACATTACAGAGGATTTGTAAAAACAAAAAAAATACTGAAAAGCTCTAAAAGGACAAATAGCAATGACCAGAATATAAATGACAGTATATCCATACCTATGTATTTGGTCTGACCAACATTTGCATCTTGCATGGCAGGTAAATTTAAGTTTACTCCAATCCAAATGAGCTTTTCCCCAATTTAAGTTAGACAAGCAACCACGTATTCTTTGCCTGTGGTACTAATGTAAGTGACTGGGCTATGCACACAAGTAGCTCTAATACCATCTGAATTTACTGCACTCCACTTGAAGACACTAGTCTTTATTGTTTCGAATATATATTCTTTGTTTTATAAACACCATGCCAGCAGCAGAGAATAGGAAAGTGAAGCCTCTACTGAATACTAACAACCTTGACTAATGCAGCACACATGCAGATACAGGAGCATGCTTGTGGTACCTCTCCTCAATACATGTAAGAGCCCTGAAGTGCCTGAATATACATTTTACCAGGAACACACCAGAAGCATGTGAGCAGCAAACAGATACTTTTGAGGGTAGGGGGTGTGTTAACCAGGAAGGAGGAAGATGCATGCTGGGAGTTTTTTTTTTTTTTTTTTTTAAAGAAAATCTTGGCCCAAAGAGTGAGCCCAGTGAGTGGAAAGTAGTAACCAGTTACAGTCTCACCTGGAAGTTTTAGTGGTGTCTGGGAAAAATGGGGTGGACAGGGCATCGGGGCCCATACAGGCAACATGAAAGCTGGCACAACTCAGGCAAGTCCCCAACAGGGACTTAATTTTCTAAATTGGTACCAATTTTGTATGGTTAAAGAGAAATCACGGCAAATGTAAAAAGCTGGCACCTCCAACATGTCACATTTAACTGTTTTTATAGCAAAGTGTTTTTAAAGCTATTCATTGCAAACATTTGTCATATAAACAGCATAATATTACATTAATATCTAACACATTTGATACAAGTCAAAATAAAAATTGGCCTTCAAATAGAGATCTGTGGAGTGAGTTGTGACATCGTGTGTTTCAGTGCTTGTGCAGAGCACAAACCACATGCCATCTTTATTGTTGTTCTGGTCGACAAGCATCCAGCTTGTGGAGGTTTAAGCCAACTGACACATCTATTTGACTGAATAACTCATTGCGGTTGAAGCTTAGGGCTGAGCATTATCCCCCTACTTTAATTACGCAATACAATTTCCACACAGAAAGTATGTAATGTATTTGTAAGTATTATCATAGATGGAAGTTAAATTAAAATATTAATCACAGAACAAACAGGAGAAATAACATGCTAAATTGAGAAATCTGAACTAACAGAACTGAATCAGAGGGGCAATACATATGTCAGGAGCAAGGAAACAACGTATATAAGATTGATACCAAAGAGGGGAAACTGCAACAAACGTAGTTTTTTTTTTTTTTAAGCATTGTAATTTGTTTCTCCCAGATGTTTAGTTGGACTAATGCCAACAAAACATAAATCAAAGTTAAATTAAATGCAATACAATTATAATTGACCCAACTATTGGCATGGAAGAGGTGATTTAAGGGATATCCCTTTACCCTGACCCAGTGAACCTCTTGACTTGAACTTTCTCTTCAGCTCTAAAAAATTCAAACTTAAGTATTCCTACAGATTACGCTTAGCTGAGTAACATCCTGTTATTCACAGACTTTTAACACCCGTGTATGTCATATATTGAGGAAAGGTGCATTCAAGGTCTATCCAACATGCACAAACAACACACACGATATAGATCTGTAGCTAAACTAAAGGCACTATTATCAAAGCCAGCTATTGTGTCACTGTAGCACTACTAAAATGTACATACAACAACACTGAACAAGGGGGCTCACCTTTGCCGGCTCTGCCTACAGAAACGTTGTATGTTGGCTCTCCTCCTTGACTCTTTGTCCGGATGTCCATTGTCCAGTCGCCGTCAATATGGAGGCTGTCTCTGATTACGGAGCACTTTTTATTGCCTAAGGTCATCCCACTGGTGAAGAATCCCTCTCGGTCCTTTCCTATTAACACGTCGATTTCTTCAGGCTGGAAAGGGAACACAAAATCAAGAAGTCAGGAAGTTGCACATCACTGCCAATCTTAATGTAAAATGTCCGTTCATTTAGGAAGAGGGTGTTTTTCGTTTCGGCAAATATAATTCTCATTTACTGCTCTATAGTGTGGAACACTACTCTGAAGCCTTTTAAGACTGATTAAGTACCACACAAAACAAACAGGTTAATTCCTCTGCCACCCCTCTTAGCTCACAATTTTTCCTCCGCAAGAAATACTTACAATGCTGAGTTTTCTTACTGAGCGTCAAGTACTTTTTGAAAGTTATTCCATTTAGGATTTGTTTGGTCAAAGTATCTTTTGCTGCTGAGAACTGATATTCATGCTTTTCTAGGTTTTAGACACAGATAATCAAAAGCAGTTCTAAGTCTTTTAGTTAAACTAAATTATAGCACACCTGACCATTTCCCACACCAACAGGTAAACCAAGCCAGTTTTCTTAGTTAGTCTCACAACACCACCACACTCCTACACAGAATTGCAGCAGTCCAGTGTGGCTTTTCAACATCATGAAGTTATGTACCACCTTATTCAGAAAACTGGCACTGAATGGATGGAATGTGTCATGAAATTGTGGGTGGCTTTGGGGTGCAAGTCTACAAATATATTTTAGGAAATATAATGTTCCCCTTTATCTGAAGACACTCATAATGCTATGATTGGAAATCACCTCCTTAGGTATCTGAGGATTTTCCTTCTTTCAACCTTTCACTCCTCATAGAAGCTGCATGTAAATTTGGTAATCTAGGACTTACAGCATGTTCCACTGCACCTGTTTATGTCACTCTACATTAGTGCAGCAGCTAAATGTGAGAAGTTTAATATATGGGGGAAGGGGGGTTTCATTTCCATAAACCTCACATCAAATGTTATCCAGGAAAGAAGATAACTACATTTTAGTTGGATGGGATATTTGAGTGTAAAACCCAACACAGGACTGCTTCTGTAGCTGGCCAAGATGGTGTCCAGGGTATCCTGCTGTAAAGAATTTCAATCAAGACACTGGGCTGCACTGTTCACAATTAAGGGCTCAGGTTATTATTCTTATTATACATCTTATAATGCTGGTTAATAGATGAGGATTTTGTTTTTTGTTTGATATATTGCCCTTTATTTACCAATAGTCCAAACTTCTCAAATGCATGTTATGTTGTCTTAGGCTAGCTATCACTTTTCTTTAAAATGACTTAAGAAAAAGAAATTTAAAATTAGTCAAACTAGCAAAAAAGTCAAGATAGTCGTACCAAGACTTTGCTAATGTTAAAAAAAAAACCAAACTCCATGCTAAGTTGTCAGACAGATGTCCACAGTCTGTTTAAAGACACAGCTGACGTCCTGAAATCTCAGAGCCCCACTTCAGCAAACAAACAAAAAAACATTATGCTGAGAAAAATGCTACATGGTCCAACTACTGCTAACTTTGCTTGTATGTTTAAAAAAAAAAAAAAAAAAAAAAAGTGTTCACCTTACTGTCACTATTTATTAACACATGTTTACACCGGGTTTATTCTTTGAACCGATCTGCAGAACAAAAGGCGTCGCCCCTCAACTCCAGAAGTGCACAGTCATGGCATACATGAAACTCTTCCAGGGGGAGGAAAAAAAAAAAAAAAGACACTCAAAAGGATTTCTACTGCCTCAAGACAACGTTAGCATGGCGGCTAGCTACATGGTTGGGCCCGGTGAGCTAATTAATTAAACCGCCTTACCCCCCATTGGGAATCCAATGCTCTGTTCCCGCATGAACTTCACACCGCTGGTTTCATATATTCTGGGTTAGCTTTCTGCACTCCTACAGCAGGCTGCTCATCAGATTTAATCACCGGGTCTGGGTGGGAGGGGACAGGCTGCTAACTCTGGTAAGCAGGCTATTAGCTCTGGCTTTGAGCCTTTTCACACCGACAGTGTCCATTTACCATTATATAATTTGCGTCTTCAAGTGATAATGTTATCCTGCCCCAGTGGCCCGAGGGGACACTCCCAAGGAACAGCGGCACACTTGTTCATAGTTAACTCGTCTGTAGCGTGGCTTATCACTGCATAGGTAACGTGCTCGTCGAAATGTTTTTTTTACAGTCACATTTTGACTCATTATGCTTTAACCTAAACAGATATTTAGATTTACTAATAATGTATTTAACACACAAAATGGAGGCTCAAGGAAGCGACGGAGACGATTCTTTTGCCAAGTTACATTAACATAAAAGCTGCAGTCCGTTAAAGTGCGGTGAACTTTCACAAAAAACGCAAGAGCCATCGACAGCTCATCAATTTGGACCGCTGCTCCAAATGTTAATCGACCACACGTCTCGATTAGCTTCCCTGAACAAAAATGAATAAGAAACTGGGAGGGTGTCCGCCATCTTGGAAAATAAGGGGCGGTAGCGGCAGTGAGATTCACAGAAGCCGAATAGGGAAAAAAAACGAGAAAGACCAACGGCGCGCCAGAACGTCAAGAACGTGTGAGCACCGCTAACTTTACGCTATCAGCGTTAGCTAATAATGATTTTCCAACGGCCTGTAGTTTTCTAATCAACGGTAACATTTCACTGCTGGTTGACGGCGTTGTCCGCCAAAGAAAATAACTTTACCCCATACAACGAAATTCAGAATATATACATTTTTAAAAAAAAGTGTGCTAGTGTATGTTGAATTATGAAATTGGTTATTCTTTGTCCGACTTGCTTATCTTAACTGACCGGTACCGCAAGCAAACACGGCTAGTTCACGCTAGCTACCCTGCTAGCATTAGAAAGCTAGCCATTTTAGCTGGAGTTCGCGGTACCGTTAGTCACTGGCTTGAGTTCTCTGGTGGCTATTTCTAATAAAAACAATGTGAACGCGGAGGCCCTTCACGTGTGTTTAAAATACTGGAAAGAGGAAAAACAATAAATACCTATGTTAGGCGCATATACAACAGCATTACGTGCCAATGCATCTTGTGTGTGACCACCGGATACCATGTGTACCACACACTGCTCGCCTTATCCTCATTCAACAAGGCCTGGCTATGCAGACAAACGCACCGGCATGCAAAATGTACATTTTCCTCCCGTGTAACCGTAGATATTGACACATAGAGCATACTAACCGTTATGTTGGCAAAGGTACCGCCGACAAAAGATGCCCAGACGTATTTGGCGTCCGTGTACCCAACAATGGCCGCGTCCTGGCAGCTGCCATCAGCCATCAGGTTGTCCACGTAGCTTTGCCAGGACATGTTTGTGAAATTAGTTCTAGGTGAAAAAATACGTAGGGTCAAGGTAGGTCACAAACGTCTCTTGAGCGACGAACAAACTGCGAGGAAGCTGTATTTATCAGTGGTTTAACGGGCCTCCAGCAAGCAGAACCCCCCCGGCTCCGTCACGTCCCGGCTTTCTTCTGGTCTAGGCAAAGAAGAGAAGCCGCTGCAATCGGACAGGCGCTTGGGTGTAGTCCTGACTAAATCACTCCGCCTGGTTCGTTATTCGCCCTTCTGCCTCATTGCATGATATACTGCGCAGCGGATGAATACATCGTGGCAGCAAGCAAGACAGCCTGTTTTTCTCCACTACATACAAAGATTTGTTTCAACTTTCCATTCTTGTTTTTCTTTTTCTCCTTTTCTTTTATTGCGGTTAAACAAGTCAAAATGCACATTTACTTTAACTTTGCCAAACAGAATTAAGTCATTGTTTCAGGCTGAGGTAAATCTGAGATTTCATGTACAAAGCAAACTAGTGCAATATGTTTAGTTTTAAGGTATGTCAAATGATTTTGAATACACCCTTAACATTTATATTTACCTTATGAGGATCACTAAAGTCACATTAGCTTTCACCTCTTTTGTTAAACACTAAATCACTGGTCATTTACAATATCCTATATGACACAATTATCCAGTTCTTTATTTAAAATTCATGTTATTAAAGTGGTGTACAGTTTCATCAGCTAGGCAAAGGGGCAATCACCAATCTCACCCAAGTCCATATTGTAGTTGTTGGATTTTTCCCCCCAGCACACATTAGGATCATTCATTGTGCACTGAAAGGCAGGGAAATACCCTGAAAAGGGCACTAGGTCATCACAGGGTACAACATTGAATTGCAATCACACACACTCACTATGCTAATGAGCAATTTTGTATTTCACAGTGCCGTAAATATCTTTGGATGATGGGACATATCCTGCTGTAACTAAGCTCACATTTAAACAGAACTGAAATTAAACCAGTGTGCTATGTTCCTTAAAACAGTCCTAATTTGTGAAACTCTGAGGCTACTTAGCATTGTGTCGGAGTGAGAAGCTGTATGTCCATATATGTGTGGACGTTTACATTTTGAGCATAGCTTACGCTCCAGAATGCCTTCCAGTGATTAAGCAGCAGAGATGTTGTGTGGTTTATTCAGTGTCTTCCTGTGAGTTACGCACCATTTTTGGCTGGGACACATCATTTGTAAAATCCTTGTGGAGACTATACCAAGTGTCACTAAATTGGTGAATAATTTATGATAAATATGTTTCTATGTTGTATTTAGCGTTTTATGCACAGTTAGTTGTTAAACATATTCAAAACGCAATTCTTTATTGCCATTTCAACATAGTTCATAAACATTTTCTTTGGTGATCTCACATGAAACTAAACAGAAACCTCAGTACATCACATAGAGTATCTGCACTGAGACATCAGTGTGATACAAGTGTTAAAACAATAAAGCCCTTATTTATTAAAGATTAATACAAATAAACAAAACAAGCGTTCCCATAGGGACACTATCAGCACTACAAACAAACAATGAAATAGTATTGTCTGTATACAGTGACAGTGTTTTCGAAAACGAATAATAACAGCACATTGGGTACCTATTAACTTAAGGTTGCAAACAGACAACAGTGCTGTTGTAGAACCTGACTGTCCTAGATCTAATACATTATTATCAGAACAATCAATAAGTAGTTTGAACTTGTATGTGGAAGTGTAGCTTGCTCGGTGGCCTCCTTGGTAGGACACATATCTGTTGATGAACAAGTTGTGGGATAAAACCTGTGGGTCTTATACAGGACATCATCAAAATGCCAGGCTTCCATGTACTGTAAGCATCTTTAATGACAAGCCTTTTACCCTGCAAGTACTTCTCCTCTCAGCAATTTGTATTAAACTGTAAAATTAACAGAACACAAAGACAGACCTGTAAAATCCGAAGAAAACCTGATACGTTTAACTTATGTTTACTTTATCTCAAAAGCTGCATTACTCCTCTTCTTTGGAAAATGTATGTCTGTGTCGTTTATCCAGAAAGGTTTTCTCTCCACTCTGAGTGCTTTGGCTCTTTTTAGCACCGTGCACTCCTGGTTCACGCTTAAATAGTGGCACAAGTTCACACCTGGAAGCTACTTCTATTGAGCAGGTGTACAAGAGCAAATACAAGTTAGGCACCTTGTTCTATAGCAAATCAGCTGCAGTTAAGGAGTGAATGGAGAGCATTAATCAGTAACTTTCACAGCTCACATAAACGTGACTCTCAATGAAATGACACGTGAAAAACAGACATGCACAGGTAAAGTGTTTCAAACATTTGGAAAAGTAAACTTAAATCAATCTGCCGACTTTGGGTACAACCAACAACCTAATGCACTAAGAAGGGGAGAGTCATTTACACTCAGACTGGTGTAAAAGTTCAGTGTATATTGCATAGATGCTGCAGAGGAGATTTATTTTGTTTGTTTTTTACATGTGCCACATACACAGCTTCCTTTGTCTGAGCCTTTTTGAAGCCTTACATCAGGTGACACTTTTATCCTTATCTAGAAACCTCCAGTGAATAATTTGTCTTTTCCCTCCATGTTATTAATTGACCAGGCATAAGGAAGTGAGCGGGTCAGAAACTCTTGTCAATCAGTCAGCCACACCCGTATCCTTTTCTCCCATTGGATGCTGTCAGTTTCCATGGCCACCTCTGTTTTGCACTTCTGCGCTTTCAAAATAGCACCACTCACAGCCAAACCACCCAGGCTGCACATGAGTCATGGAGATACAGAAAAGAGCCAACTTGTTCGCTAAGGAAAAGGCTTGATTTCGGGCAAGCCCATTAGCATCGTCTAATATTATCACAAGAACCCAGAGATAAACACAGCAAGTAGCAATTCCCAGGTTTTCCTGCAGGCTTTCTCAGATTTTTTTCCTCTTGTTTGCAGGTACATGGTGTCCATATTTTTCCATGCATGATGGAAGTTTGAGAATATAACTTCAAGGTACGGTGAATTGATAAAAGGAAACCAAATAGTTTTCAGCGTTAAAGAGAATTAGAGTCTGTATAGTGCACGCTCTGACTGTGACACCTGGTGCTGTGGCATCCTGTCGGCTCAGCAGGCAGATGCATATACCATGTGCCTGCAACTGATCTGAGACACAATGTCCTTTTGGCAGACTTTCTTGCCGCACACAAGTAAAGTAAATGTTTTTGAAAGAAAGCAGCAATGTCCAGTACTTTTACACTAATACTGCTGACAGTCTTTTATTGTGTGCCTTTATGGCCTATGACCCCATAAAACAAGGGAATGCATACTTGTAATTCCCTGCCACTAGCTGCTTAAAGTGGCGAGCATGACTCCTACATGTTTAGAAACACTAAGGTAAATTGTAAATTATAATTTACAAAAATGGAAGTATTTTATTTACCATTTATTTATTTATATATTGACAGTTTTAAAGGATAGCAATATTTTTGTATTTACAACAGATCCAATTAAAAGACTGAAAACAAACAAAATGTTAGTACACCTCTCAATACTTTCCGACTTCCCTACTTCATTTGGGACTCTCAGACTGAAGCCCATTTGTTTGTACTTAAAAAGTACATTTCAGAAACATATATTTCAATACATACTTTCACTTAAAAAAAGGCTAAATCATATCCTAAAACAGGGCATTGTAACTTTTAGCAAACGTTACTCTAGGGGGGAAATAGTGCATGTGTTGGGGACTATTTTCACTGGCGGATTAATACACTTTTGGTGCTCTATTGAATGTTAATGGGAGCAAGACAGTGTATGTGTGCTTGACTCCAAACAAACTACAGTACTATGTTCATCATTATAAAGGAACATGTCACCCATTGCAAGATTGTGGCTCAGTAATGTGTTTTTAATTGTTTTAACTGATGTCTATGGTGCAGGTATATCAGGGTTTAGCTACAGAGGCAGTACTTCTTAATAGTAGATCTTAAGTCCCTTTTCCACCGGATGGTACCAGCTCGCCTCGACTCAATTCGCCTTTTTTGGTTTTCCACTGGGCAAATCTGGTACCTGGTACCTGGCATCTGGTTGGTGTTTTGGTATCACATCTGTCAAGATTCCGAGTGATCTGAGGCGATACCAAAAGGTGACGTGAAAACACTACAGACTACTGACTGGTCAGAGAAAATTGTAACTAGTCATTGCATCATTTTTGCGCGCACCACACGGTCTGTCCTGAACAAACCCGTCATTTTTAAATAGTTTAGCCAGAGATTGCGAGATTGTAACTGTAAAGATACTCTCTGCACTCTGTTACTTTATTATTATTATGGCAACCCACAAAACCACAAAGAGGTCAAATAAGGAGGTGCTGACGTTCCTATTTGGTTGCTGATAAAAAGTGAGTCAATGAAGATTACATCACAGCAGTTTCATGCTATGAAGCTACATTGAAGGGGTACTATATCTGCAATGGAAAATGGAGGACAGGACACCAAAAGCAAGAAGAGGCAAGTTGAGGCGAGCTGAGCTAGTACCACTAATGGGTAAGCACCATTAGGAGGATCACTTCATTGTTGGTTTTGATCTTTTTTGACAGTAGAACACACAGAAAATCACTAGACTTATCATTTAAATATTATCAAATGTTTTACTGTTAAAAATATGTGTGTAGAAGCCCATGATTTCTACAATGTTTATTTAAGGGACAATGTGTTAATAATACTGTATGTAGCTGCAGAGTCATTTAGACATTTTTTTTACATTATATTCTGTAAGGCCATCAAACCCTCCTCTGTGATCTATGCCCTATGTTAATCAATACGTTTACATGAAAATAAGTCCAAAGAGTCGAATAAGCTTTTATTCTTGGTTGATCAATATTACAAGCAACCAACAGTAAGAAGGTCAGAGCCACAGCTGCCTGACAGGGCTTAAAATTACCCCAGCTGCCCTTATTACAACTCCGCAGGAGCCTCTGCATTGTCTCGTACAGTCTTAACACAATTCAGCCCATTTCTTCACCTCAATTGGACAAAATTATTTATTCATGATCCTTGTTCCCTCTTTGTGAACAAGGATACACTCTTGTGTAGCAGCAGAAGCGGTAGACCTAATTTGACCTGATACAGATGAACACTCAAAGGTCGATGCGCTTTGATGTATGACGTATTGGGAAAACATTTATTTAACTC